TGTAAAAAAAAAAAAAAAAAACAGGCCTGGAAATTCTGTTGTTGAAAGACACAGACAGCTTTGTTGCTACTTTGCTGTGTTTTGGGTCACTGCATTTCAGCTGTACTGTACATGTACCTTCTGAGATAGAAATCAAGGTTTAGCACAAGCTATGGACAGAACAGTCTTCCATGCACTTATACTAAGTAATAACCACAGCAACCTGAACATCATTCTACAGCAAACAAGAGCTTTTGCTTACCACCTGAATGGTGGCAACTAAACATAATGTATTGTAGAACCTTTCATATAAGCAATACCTTATAAACAGAAATATTATTACAACACCTAGCGTTAAATAGAAACTTAAAGTATAAATTGGCTATTTTAACTCTGAGGTTTTGATTTTAATACCTCTGCTGTCAATTTAATTGTTCCAAAATTACATTTACTACAGTCAGCAGCATTGTTTCAAGCCTCATATTTCTTTTTTCCTCACTTCAGAAAGACAAGAAAACCTGCAATCATGTTCCAATATGCACCCTGTCTCCTGAAACCATCACTCTAAAGAACAAACCAGGCCTCCAGTCACTCTCGCAGCCCAGCAAATCTCATCACCCCTGGCACATCCGCATTTCTAATCTCAATCTGTCAGCACAGTGAACACACACGCCAGAGTACTTACAGCAATATTCTGATAAATCCGACACTGCTATTACACTATAAGCAGCCTTTCAGAAACGACATGCTTTGGCATCCATAGATAATGGGATGGCTCCCCAGGGACTGAGCCAAGCAGCAAGCGCTGCAGAGAGACCTGAGAAAGGGGTAGTTCTCTTGCAGCACCGTCTCACAAGTGACTCCCTTGGAGGCTACTGGAGGGCAAAATGTGCTTTTGTAACTGACAGAATTACAGAATCATAGAATGGTTGGGTTGGAAAGTACCTTAAGATCACCCAGTTACAACCCCCTGCCAGACCACGTTGCTCTGTCCAGCCTGGCCTTGAACACTACCAGGGATGGGGCATTTACCACTTCTTTGGGCAACCTGCTCCACTGCCTCACCACCCTCACAGTAAAGAGCTTCTTTTTTATATCTAACTTGAATTTCCTCTGTTTAAGCCCATCAGCCCATGTCCTATCACTGCAGTTCCTGATGAAGTGTCCTGTGCTCAATACCACAACATATCAGATATCACAAGAAACTGGCATATTTAAAAAGTGCAGGTGAAGTCTTTAACATGCTGTCAAAGGTGTTCTCTCACTAACTTTTGACATGGTGAAGAAAGCTGTTCAATACTGCAGACATTCTCGGAACTACAAGAACAGGGAGACATACCAACTACACCATCAGAAAACCTTTCTGAAGTTACGAACTTCTGTTAACAAATGAATTCAGTAAAAATAAACAAAATCAACTATTTTTAAATTATAATAAGTATCTCAACAGGTTATATTTTGATTTTTGCTGTTTTCTGTGAAAAGCTTTTTTGGCTTTTGCATGCATAAATTGCAGAAAAATTCTAGGGAAGAACTGCCTCTATTTAACACTTCATCAAGAGAAAAAAGAGGAGTGATCTAATTGCTTGTTGCAATACAGGTAATGCACAATATAAAAGTAAGAAAACCTTCTGTTCCTTTGAAAATGTTTAATTGCTGTCAAAACTAATGATTCAGTCTTGTAAGTGGTTATAATAAACATAAATCCCACATGTGCATGAATTCCACTGATGGCAGTGGTGCTGCATGAATCGCATGATTCTCGTTAATACATGAATTTGCAGCCGGTAGAACGAGCTGCTGCAGAAGCCCACTTTGCAATTAGTTATGAAGGAAAACAATACCCTTATGTCAACATTACAGCTCCTGAAACCTAATCCTGCAAAGCACCAATGACTGAATTCAGTGAAAATCAGCTACACATGTAATGATGTATATACATGACACTTTCTGCATTAAGATGTTGCAATAGCTTTCACATAGCTGTTACATGTTGGCTATAATGCTTCAGCTAGATCACACTTCAAAAACAATCAAACACAGAGCTATCATGCAAGACACTTCATGACTGCTTTGTGGTCTGAAGCACAGATCTTTGGGTAAACCATAGGGTTTACAACCCTTCAGGTTAGAAGGAGAGCTCTGGAGGTTACTCAGTGCAACCCCTTCACAAAACAGAGCTCACTTCCAAGTTAAATCAAGTTGTACAAGACCTTATTTCATCATGATGTTATAAAGAGGAAGAGCCTGGAAGCACAGCACCTTGCAGGGGCTTTGCACAGGAAGCAGAACACTTCAGAGCTCACTTGCTCATACTCTGCACATCTACCTTATTAGCTGAGTGCTGTATGTTCCTTAGGCAAATAGAACTTTTCAAATATGAATCTTGGGAGAAATAGCATTTCTCCATTAATCCAATACAGTCTAGATTACTGTAGCCCAAACTAAATTATGTCCAACTGCATTATCTTGATACAAAACAAGAGGCAGAACTATTAAAGCTGTAAAAACACATTAAACATACACTTTTGAACACCTGAACTTTTTCTCCAAGGACAAATATCCACTTTTGTGACTTTAATAAACACTTCAAGGTCACACACAGGTTCCCACCTCCCTGCATCATGATTCATAAATTATTTTCCACACAAATAGTATTCACTGAAACCTTTCAACACACGAGGAATTAATGGCAGTGCTTGGAAGCAGATCTTCCCTCTTCAAGATCATCCAGTCTTAATGATTGCACCGTATTTCCCCAAATCTGCATGTTTTCTTTTTTTAAATCATGATTCAACTCTCTTTAGGAATTACACCCTGTTGGACTGCACATGTATCACTGCTGCTTAGAACCTCGTCTCAACAAGTAAATACCAACAGAACCAGAAGATTGGGTCAAGTACATTCACCCCATTTATTTCAATTGGATGATAGCTGTGAAGCCTAAAACGTGAGTATTTAAATTCCCTTATTTATAAGCCATATCAGTGATAACCATACAAGGAACCACCTAGTTAAAGTACATACAGTATCACACTGATAAAAACTGCACAGTGCATCAACAGCAAAAGAGGCAACCACTCTGAGGTGCAAACAACAGAACATTCTAGCAACAGTTTGGAGATTCTCCACTTCCTTAAAGCCCGTGTAACAGCAACACTTCTTGGCCACTAAAAGCTGAAATTAACTGCTATTTGTGTCCGGCTTGTGCTTTATGGACCTAAATGTTTCATCCCTTGTTGAAACTACAGTTATCCCACAAAATTGGGATCTTGTTGCAGATCAAAACCAAGACTCATCTTTCCAAGACATTAGCTGGATGTATAGGATTCCCTCAAATCACCCACTGATTTCAACAGGCTGTTGCCACAGAATCTGTACAATGCAATTTTTGGGGGGAGGGGGAGTGTTGTCAAGTGTAACAGAATCACTTCCAACTCAGCTGATGCTATATTAGAAAAAGAGAGAAAGAAGAAAGAAGAAATGGTGAAAGAAATGAAGAAAGGCAAAAAGAAAGAAGAAAGAGGTGAGAGAACCAAAGCATTGCTGTCCAGCCAAACACCAGTGGGCTACTCTAGATATGCAGCTGTGTCTTGACAAATTGTATTTCTACTATCTAATGAGAGTTCAATCAGAATTCAGAAATATAACTCTGTATATTGCACTTCATATTCCACAGAGTACCAAAACTTACGTGCATACAAGAAAAACTTTCATCTCACAACAATGCAAATGCATCTGAAGTACTCATTCCCCTGAAGGACCTGAGAAGCCATGTGTCTATTTAAAATACCCTTTTAGAACTGGTAATACCTTTGAAACCAGAATAAACTTTCACACACTGTACACATTGTACTTCACAAAATACTACTGCTATAACATGTTATAAAGAGGAGGAGAAGAATGCTGCCAGGATACACGGCAGGGAAAAGCTCTCACTGGGAAATGTGGATGGCTTTCTGTGAACTCCAGAATGATTACATGACATTTATGTGGTTTTGCTGCTGAGTGACAAAGCTGTGACTTCAGCAGATGTTTCCACGCTACTCCTGCACCATGAGTCACCCGGGGCTGTTCTGGTTTCACATCATCAAGGCAAGACTTCATTCATGCTGTATTAGGTGAATAGGGAGGGCAGCAGTTAGCTGTGCTTGGAGGAGTGCCGTCACCACGCAACGTCCTTCGTAAGGATACACTACGTTCTGATTTCTGCCATAAAGTAGCAGATAAAACATTAATTTCCTATGATGTCAATTTGTGCATTTTGGACAGAGTTCTTAAAAGACCACCTTGAACTCTGCAACCACGTTTTTAGTGTGTTATTTTGTGAGATGCAGTAAAATCAGTATTCCTGCAGGACAACATCATTAACCAAATCCACTTCTTTCTCAGGCAAAATTTGAAAGAAAGAGACAAAACCCAATTAGACCAGGCTCAAGACCTGTCCTTCTGTAGCCATCTTGCACCAGCACACTTGGGGCTCTTTGGCTGGGGTACAAACAGCTAAACTTGATTTTGATTGAATTTTTCCGGATATTAAAAAAAGATTAGTTTGCCCCATGTGCCAGATTTATGGCACTCTTGTGTTGGGATTTGTGGAGCATAAGCAGAGCTACACTTGCTCTCTCTCGAGATCAAAATTGGCGAGCTAGAGTCCCGGCTCTGGGAAGATCAAGGTGCTGGAACCACGATTTTGCAGCACTGTTGCACTAAGAGCTTCCCAGGGCATTTCCTTACCGAAACGAAGTGCTTTGCTTTTGGTGCAGTGCAATGGAGAAAACTTACCTTCTCTCTTATTATTGCAACATTTTGAAGCTTTGGTACAAAAATAACAATCATAAACGGTATCTAGAAATAAAGCTCTCACACAGGCTGCTGCTAAGAGATCTGAGCTGCTTTCAAACGGCAGGTACAAGCTGAGCTGTGGGAAGCGAGGAGGGGGTATTCTGCCAGCCCTGCATTCTCCTCCCTTCCCTTTAAACCCCACCCCACCCCACCAGCAGCAAAGTCAGCCCCCTTACCTGATAATATCATCGTTGTGCCCGAGGAAGAATTTCTGGCTGTGCTCTCTGGTGTTGTAAACCACGCCGACTCCAGCCACGAAGTACACCACCTCTTTGCCTGCCGTGTAGTACAGGTTGTTGCGGCACTGGTGACCCCTGTACCCGTAAACCCACTCCAGACGGAGCTGGCATCCAGGAGCCGTCCGATCCGCCATGATAACCAATCCCCTCTCCCCCCTCCCTCCACCCCCCGGCACACACAGAGCCGAGCGCTGCCCCTCCTTCCCTCAACTCCTTCCCCCTCCGGGGTTTCCCCCTTTAAAACGTTAGCGATCGCTGCCCAGCGGAGCTTCAGGTGGCACTTCCCAGCGGCGAGCTTAAACGGAAAACGCATTCGCGGATCAGGTCTGCCGCTGCCGCCGCTCCTCACCGCTGCGCTGCCACCATAATCTGCTGCTGCCGCTGCCCAGGGCGAGCAGCAGCCGCGGCCCCGCCGCTGCCACCCGGGTAACTTCTTAGGGGAGAGGCGAGATCGCAGAAATGCACCTTCAGGGGCAGCAGACGGGGCTTTATCTTTCCGAAAGCAAAGAAACTTCTGTGCGTCAGCACCTGCCGAAGGCTGCACCTTGCCGGTTCGCTGCGAGAGGCTTCCTGGGTGCTCTGCTTTTTAAGCTATCTACCTCTGGGTGCGAACTGAAAAACACACACACAAAAAGCCGTGCGTTTGAGTTGCACAATGTACGCGTATTTAAAATGTAAAGGGACTGCTCTGAACGGGGGAGGCACTGCTGGGAGCCGTGCTGTGGCGGTTCTGGGGGCTCTAGGGTCCTCTAAGCTTTCACAGCATCAGACCTTGAGTCTTCACAGGAGATGCTATTAAAAGAGAAGACTCGTATACAACATCCAGCATGGCAATATCACCCCACCTTTCCTTATCCCCCAGCAACCCCAAACTTCCTCCTTTAGGAGTCTATAGCAACGATGTAATTAAAACACTTTTACGTTCCCATTTCTCAGTCACAAACCACTCCAGTTTGCCATGAAGTAGCGGGGGCTTGTGCTTATTTAGTTATTCGTTGGAACAATATTCCCAAGGAATACACACGTCCTTGCTCATCTTCTCCTTTTTCTAAAGCACGGTTTGTATGGGTATCACCAGTACAGTGCCTGTTGTCTGTGGTAAGACATCCACCACTTTACAGTATCACTCAACAAGAAACCGAACCGAACCCTCCGAAGCTCGGCCACAACCGCAGGGAAGAGAATGCTAAAATCAGAGGAGCAAACCCAAAGCCTCATTCACAGAGGCTAGTGCCACATGGAAGGGAAGAATGAACTACCTGCTACAAGGCTAATCCCGTTACCTTTCCCCTCACAAGACACCTCACATTCGCTGTGTGCCCAGACTGAGGAGCAGTGTGTTGATACAGGCTTACATAAAGGGTTTTAGTGCCGGCAGTACTGCCCGGCATGCAAGCGACACAACCCGCCATTCACGGATTAGACGCCGCGCTTTCGAGTAAAACCTCTCCTCACACCCAGATCACCAGCCTCCACAGGGAGTACCACCTCTCATGACCCCATGCCCTACCGCCGCCCCTCAGCCTGGCTCCCCAACCGCCGGAGCGGGCGGTGCTGCAGAGGGAGGACCGGCCTCAGGGCCGGGCGCTGCCCGCTCCCCCCGCACGGCAGGACGGCAGCCTGGGCGTGTGCGAGGGGCGGGGGCACCTCCGTGTCCACCCTCCCTCATAGGCAAGAGGAGCCGGCCCCACAACAACCACCGGCCCCTCTTGCCCGGGCGCACCGGAGGCGGTGGCGCGCAGAGCCGCGCTCCCTCAGCGCTGTGGAGACCGCCTTTGGCTGGCGCCCGGCCCCCCGCGGTGCCTCATGGGAACGCGAGTTCTGGCGGCTGTTGTTGGCCGGGCAGCCGCGAGGCTGCGGCCAGGGAGGACTACAACTCCCAGCGTGCCCTGCGGCGCCGCGGAGCGCTGTTGCTATGGTGACGGCCGCCTAACGGCTCGCCCGCGGCTCTTCCCGCCCTTTCTGAGGGCGCTGAGGCGGATCCTGAGGGGACGGACGGAGCCGCCCGGGCTGCGGTGCTCAAAGCGCTGTGTCCTGCGGGCCGGGCCGCCCTGGCTGGCGCTTACCGCGGCGTGTGGGTCACCTCAGGCCTCCGCTGCCACCGGCGGTCGGGGAGACAGCGCTCGGAGTTGAACAGGAGCTCGCCCCAGTCTTCCCTCCCTCAAGCGTGGCTTGCCGCAAGAGCCATGCGTAAATTCACACAATAAACCCCATCTTTCTGCTTTCCTCCTTCGCAGTTGCATCCCGGATTTCTCACAAGAACTGAGAAAAATGAAGATATAAAATATTACGTGATCCTTTCCTCAAGGCCAGCTTTTCCCTGCATTCAGCTGCTCACCTGGTAAATCCTAGCAGCCACGCAGCAAAACGCACATCTTGGTGCAAGCGCCTTGTGTTGAATTGATTTCCCTTTGGGAATACAAGAAATCCTCAGGGCCTGTACAAAAATACCTTCTCCTCCAGTGGTCCCTCAGGAACGGAGTCGCAAAGACTTTAAACACTGTTGTTTACTCATGTCAAAGTCAGTTCTGCATAGTGAATGCTGTTAAAAGCTATTTGAAGTATTTCAGATTCATAAAGGGTGTAGCACTCTCATGGGTGCCTTTGTGCATTTCTCCTAGCTGTTTACATCTATAAACTTAAAACTTGGGGACTTTGAAACTTTGAGTAATATAAATGCTAAATCAACCCTCTCTCCCTTAGGTAACTGTTTAGAAAATGTGCTTAAGATAATGAAAATGTATTTAACACTTCATAGAATCATGGAATGGTTTGGGTTGGAAAGGACCTTAAGATCATCCGGTTCCAACCCCCCTGCCATGGCCAGGGACACCTCACACTAAACCATGGCACCCAAGGCTCTGTCCAACCTGGCCTTGAGCACTGCCAGGGATGGAGTATTCATTATTTAACATTTACCGTAAACTCCTACACCAGAGGGGAGCAGCTGGGGTTAAACCATGACAAGACTGCTAAAAAACACTGATTTTTTGCCTGTTCTGAAACATAAGAACATAGAAAGTTGTTTCACCAACAAGCAGGTGTGGATATCTAATAAGACTTCCAATGAATTCTGAATTCTTCATCCTTTGTTATCCCAGTATTAGTCCATGGAATAACTTCCATGTGATCTTAGCTTTCTTTGAATGATTTTCTTTGTTATATTACATAATTCTCATGAAAACAATAATACCTATGACAAGCCTGTCCTTCACCTACTCAACCAGGACAAACAAAAGCTAGTTTGAAGTTTGCTTGCCATCTTGCTGTGAGCAAGTGTTCAAGTTGAACTTCGTACTTCATCCTTCAGTAAAACCTGCGTATTCTTTATCTCATTTGTGATACTCAGTATAAAGTGTGGAGGCTGTAAATAACAGGCATCATTTCACTGAAAATACATCTCCAATGTTGGAAAAAATGATTTGGTATAAATAATGATCATTACTGCAGCAATGAAGTATGCTAGCCATGAACCAACACCCAAAAAGACCTTAAAGAAAAAAGCCTTAAACACATGCAACCCCAAGGTCAGCTTCACTCATTTTCCTATTATCTGTACTCAAGGGTTTTGTGAATTACCTTTCATGGCAAGTTGTTTTCTCCATTAAAAACCAAACAGCATTACTACTTTCCTATTAGGAGCCGTTATGTCGCTAAAAATGCTCCTCAATACTGCAGCCTGCCGTCCATTGTCAGTACAACATAAATACCACACATAACCCAACGCTTTAGGATGTATTTCAGAACGTAACTGAAAGATAACAATTTGCAATAGCACCACCATTTTTCCTCCTCCCTGGGGCAAGGACTCCATTAGCCTAGCCTAGAACATGTATTTCACTACATTTACTTCTTCTTTTAAATATAAAACCAATCTAATAGAGCACTTTGCATGAGCAGCACTTGAATGACAGCTCCCACACTCTGGGGTTTTTGAGGGGTTTGGGGTTATTCGTGGTTATTTTGCTGTTGTTGTTTTGTTATCGTGTTTGTTTTAAAGCATGCCTTCTATAGAAGATGCCAAAAAGCATCGCATCTCAAATTAACTCCAATCCTTGGTGATATATCCTGCCCACTCTATACATATGCAAGAGCTGTGATTAACAATGAACACTGAGAATTACCCCCCCAGAAACATCTGTGTTATGTTCTACCTCTTTGTTACACAAAATACCACTTATAACTCATATTTTAATGGATGAATGTACAGCAGATGCACAGAGATGGCATATTAATTGGCATTTCCTATTTTGTACCTATTTGAGCTGTAATTATGTAAAATCCATAAGAACTTGGGGGCAGGGATCAGAAGCAGGAACTGTGATCTAGTTCTGTTTGTCTGTTGCCTGGCATTACATTAATCCAATCCTGACTGATGCCTCTCAGTGGTTTTTACTATCTAAGTACAAAATAATAACAGGGGAATTGGCTCTAAGCTTTTAGTCCTCGTGGGTGGAAATACTCATTTGCATTGATGAAATGCTAGGGTCTGGCCAGAAATAATGTTAGGAAAAAGAGGGAAAAGAAAAAATTGAATCTTCTCCATCCTCAAACACAAAGCATTTGTAACAGATCATGTGTACAGTGCTCTTCAAATCCCAGCCTGGGCAGAAAATCTTTCTGACCAGCCCTAATGCATTTGTTTTGCTGCATTTCCGAGTGCAGTCCAGGACTGCCATGGGCAGCAGAATGATAAAAACCTTGGTCTTGGTCTCCTGTGCTCATCCCTGCTCAGAGTCTGGAGGTTCAGAGTCACAGCATGGAGCCAGCCTACGAAGCAGCCGAGTTGACCCACAGAGCCTCTGCATTGCAACACAACCACCTGCCCCGAGGATACCCCAGACCCAGCAGGAGACCTCATCTCCAATGGGATACTCCTGCCTTTTTTCCAGACACACACGGGGCTCATTCTGTCATCTTTTCATGGAATTTCAGCAATCAGCTAAAACTTACTATCACCACAGCAGAGATCTTGATCTTCCCACAGAAATTCATCACTTTTTCTGCCACAGCAAGGATGGTGGTGTTCCTTGCCTTTCCATATGCTGGCTGCCATGCTTGACTCAGCTTCCTTCCTATGATGATTCACCCGAGACATGTCTAAATCTTGCCTCAAGTTTACATAACTCCTTTAAAATCTGACTTTTCCAAATTAAGAGAATTTTTGT